AAGGACCCAAAAAGGGACCCTAATATTCACAACCGCCCGAATGAGGATTTAGGATCTGGGGTTCAGTGCTGAGGGTTCCAGGTGTTTTTGAGTTCAGGATCGGGTGTTCCATGTCTCAGAATGTGGCTTTGCATGTCTATGAATTGCTGATATCGGACGACCATGGCAAGTGTCACTATTGCTACTCAATGCTTTCTGGGTTTTGCCTGCACCAGCGTTCTCGCTGTCATGAGTCAGAAACATAAGCCACAAGCTCTCAACCCCAAACCTGAATCCGAATAGTACTGCTCTGGGAAACAACATCCTGCGACGCGGCCGCACAAGATGCGCTTGGAGGTTCATGGGTAGTTATAGGTGGGGTTATGAGTCCCCTAATATGGGTAAGTTATAACTATAGTTAGCCTACTTATAAGCACACCTAGATATGAGTAATTACCAATGAACCTTCAAGTGGGGTGGAGGCTTAAAATCTTGGTCTCAGAGTTGAGAGTTTGGGGGTGTTTTGGGTTCAGGGTCTTGGGTCTGCAGTTTAGGGACATCGCCCTTCTGTTCCCAGGATCCGCAATCATGCTCACTCTTCAGACAGATTTCTGACGAGGGCAGCACAAAGTCAAAACACGATCTGACCGAACAGTCAGACCACTGCCATAGACGCACAAACTGACCACATATTCTCTACATGTCTAACCCTAAACCCTAAACCCTAAACCCTCTATTATTTAAGGATTTAAGGACCGTCGGTCCTGACAGCACTGCCGCTGGCTCAGAATTTCGGGCCGGGGCCTCCTTTTGGCGCCAGCTCAAAATCCAAGCAATGCCTACTTGGAGGATCTTGGGACTCAGTAAGTAAGGTTATAAGTACCCTAATTGAGTTATAAGTATAGTTCGCCTAATAATAACTAAGTCCCATGATCCTTTAAATCATATCTTTTTGAGGTACACTTCCATGTCTTGCTTTCCTGGGCTTTGAAGTAACCAGGCGGAAAAAAGTGTCGACTCCTACTTCATAATGGTCTCCTTTAACTCAGGGGCCCCAAAAAAGTTAAGAGCGCATGGTACTCCAAAGCCCACTTTCTTTAAAGAGTTTAGTATAAGGAGTCGCAGGCCACTAAGCCGAAGCGAACGAAGCGAACCACGGATCATGCTCGCGGTAACTTGCGGCTTCGGGGCTTCTTGGAGGTTCGTGGGTAGTTATAAGTAGGGTTACAAGCCCCCTAATATGGGTTTAGGGTTTAGGGTTATAACCCAACTTGTAACTGCCCATGAACCTCCAAGTTGGGTTTTGGGTTTAGGCGCGTTTAGTCTAGGTTCAGAGATGAGGCTCCAGGGTTTGGGGCTTCGGTTTAATAAAGGGCCCCTTATTATAATCATGGCATCATATACCCCCAAGCCCTATCCTACGTATTAAGGCCCCTCTGTTGCGGTTCATTGTTGTCTCGAGCTTGATATCTGCAAATGCTTAACAGAAACAAACGGGACAGCTGTTCCAAAGCATTGTCCTACCCCGAAACCGAAAGCTCTGCTCCCTAAAGTAGGCTTCTGCTCCGCCGCCAATGTCTCAGCTCCCGTTGAATCGGAGCCGTGAGCGGAAAATCGCAGCGGCGCACGCCGTAGCTAGACGAAGTTCTCAAGCCGAGGTTGCCGCTCAGAAAATTAAGGCACAGAGCTATGCCAGCACGTCGTTAAGATACATATTCCACCCTTAGCGTGTGCTGAAATTTGGACGGCTGTGGTGACTAATGTAGGAAACTGACCAAGAAACCCTGGGCCTATAACCCCGAAATAGTAGGATTCGCATAAGGAACCCTAATAAAGGCCCAAGGTTTCTTAATCAGGTTCCGACATTACTCGGACTCCCAGTGCCAGCCGGCACTGTGCCATTTCTGGTGTTGCTTGCGCTGCTGTTCCTACTGTTACTGCCATCATCTGTCTGGTGCTTAGTAGGGAATGGGGGACTGGATCCCTTAAGTAGGCCCTATATAATCCCCAATAGTAGTCTCCATAATCTATTCCCCCATTCCCTACTAAGCACCAGACAGTCATGCGTAACAAGTATAAGCTCGAAACTTTTGAACCCACAACCAGAACCTTACACGTTAACCTTAGATCCTAAGATTACTTTTCTCGGCAACATCATCCAGCGAACATGCCATCAACACTTGGCCCTTCCAGAATCACCCGAGACCTGCACAGCTGGCACGCTGGAAGAGGCCTTACTGTGGAAAACCCGGGATTAGGGCAAAGAGTTTAAGATTTCGGCCGCCCGCACAAACATACCTAAACCCCGAAAGCTGACCCTAAACCCCAAAGCCCGAACCCTAAACCTGTAAACCCAAACCCCAAAGCCCTGCATGGCCTGTGAGCCTAGGAAGGGAGCCCTGACATCATGAATTCCGCGAGTTCGTTTAAACAAAAGCTCGGCGAACCTTAGCATAGGCTTCAGGGTTTAGGCTGCCGTTGTTGTTGGTGTTGGTCTCGGTGCTGTTGCTGCTGCGCTGGGTGTTGTTGTTGTTGTTGCTGTTGCTGTTGCTGTTGTTGCTCTTCGGTTTGGAGCTTAAGGTTTGCTGGCGCAAGCTAAAGCCCGAAGACCGAACAAAGTCTTAAGCAGACTCTCAAGCTTCACCTTTCAGCAATGCTTCCCCCAGGCGATTTTGCTATGAGAGATTTTACACCTGAAACAGCACGTCCTGCAACTGTACAGTGTTCATGGTGCTCTAAAGGCTCAATTTTCGGACCAACTGCCTGAATCCAGCTTTGAAGGCCTGAATGAATCCAATGCGGCGATGGGGGCATACTATACTTTAGTCACTTTAGTCATGTAGGGGCGATACGGGAACTTCCGCTACGGTTTCGGGCTTAGGGTTTAGGGACTCAGGTCTTTCCCTACCTTTCAACCCCCCTCCAAGAGTTTAGGTTGCGGCGGGGAAGAAGGAAGAAATCCAGATCCCAAGCCCTGAAATTCAGATCCCCAAACCTCCCACTTTAAACAAGCGAGAAAACTTAAGTAACTCCAAGCCCAAGGTAACCCAGACCCCAACAGTCACGTCGAGCGACCTTTGAGATGTGTTGAAGCACTCGGTCGATCTTGTCGTCCACGTTATTCATCCTCGCCTGCAACACCGTCATCCCGTGGCTTGGACGCACAAATGCTCAATGACGATGAAGCCCCCCAGCGCAGCTTCATTGACACCGAACGACGACACTGCTTTTTAAGCCCTCAGCGCCCCTAAACTCTAAACGCCGACGGTCCTGCTGCTCTTCGTGATATCTTTGCAACTCCGCTTCAAAGCTTCGCATCTTGTCCTCTGCCACATGCCAGAAACATGGCACAGCTTTGCCTCCAAACTTTGCACCGTGCAACCCTTGGGGTTAGGTTTTAAGGCTTAGGATTTCGGGTTCAAGCCTCCAATTTACCTTCCAGCACGCTTGACTTCCTAGCGTCTCAACCGCAACCGTGGAAGCTCAAGCCGTAAAACTCTGAGGACTGTCCTTCTGCTCCTCGTGCTGCCTCTGCAATTTCCCTTCAAGGTTTTGCATCTTGTCCTCTTCCACAGCGGACGGGAACTCCGATCAAGAACCCACAGCTAGTGTTTAGGAGGTTTCGGGATGTTTCGGGTTTGGAATGTCGGATTTTGGCTGAGTCAGCTGAGGGGCTGGGTCTGAGGAACTAACTCGGGGACTTAGGTTACAATAATAGCATCCAAACCTCCACTAGCACCGGTGAAGACAGCCAACGATGTGGTGCAGCACTCTGCATGCAAGAGCTCTTGGACACTGTCTTGAAGCTCAAGCGCCCACTCGCGACGAGAGGTCCGCTGAGCTTGTCTCGGAGTTCGTCAGTGCGTGACACAGGGGCTGTGACACGTATAGAGCTCACTCAAGATGAATGCAATGACGGCCGGTACACGACGATCCGTATTGACACGCAACATCATGAGTGGCACAAAACGTTACAAAGTTGTAGCCTTTCACTGCTACAATTGCTACAAAAGAAATAGAAACCGAAGGTCACGAGGCTAAGTACAGCAAAAGCCAAGCCAAGCTACACAAAGCCTTCGGACAGACACTACGAAGTAGGGGCAAGGAGCCCAAGACACGAAAAGCACTTGGCCTAAACCACAGAGTGTACAGACCAAGGCTGACCAGGTGCGATCTGCACGAAAGGCACTCGGAGTTTCAGTTGAGCTCGAAGCAGGAGTTCAGTGCTTGGCAACGCCACCGCCAGCAGCATCAAGAAGAGCTCCAACTGCAGGGTCACGAAGAAGTCGTTGTGCACGGCCGTCAGCAGCCAGCACAGCACCACCAGCAGGTTGACGAGTGGTCGTTGTTGACAAAGTTGTAATTCACCACGACCGGCAGCGACCGCAGCACTACTTGGTAGCAGCAGGGTCGCCACGACGGTGCGGAACACCGTCACCAACAGTGGCCAGAGCGCCACCAGCAGGTTCGGCAGGAAGTTGTCGTTCAACGTCGCCCACAGCAGCTACAGCACTGCCGGAAGGTTTGTCACGACGTTGGAGTGCACCATGGCCAGCAGCAGCGGGAAGAGCAGCATCGACAACTTCGCGGGGCGGAGTCGTTGTTCACGAAGGCACCAGCAGCAGCCGAAGCACCAAGCTGCCGTTCACGATCGTCAGCAGCAGAAGCAGCGCCATCATCATCACCGAAGCGACGAACCTCACTAGGGCGCAGCCCACCTTGTCGAAGGTTGGCGTGAAGGAGAGCACCAGTGGCAGCAGAAGCCTTGATGGCCCCAAGTTCCCACTGGGATGCGAGCTTGCGAGCTCCCGGGGGCGCCAGCACTCTTCACGGCCACGACCTCCACCACGACGTGCTGCAGCCTGGCCCACGAGGCCGTTCAAGGAGCGAAGCCTCTCCGAGCAAAGTCCAAGTGGAGCTTGCCATTGGGGCTTCTTTCCATGCGAAGGCACTCGAACAAAGGTTTGTTGAACCCCAGTCTGTCAAGTGCACGAAGAGGGCCGCGCACCTTCTCCACGAGTTTAAGCAAGTAGTTGAGCTTGAAGGGCCGACTGACAATCAAACACAAAGATCAGTCGAGCGGTCCATCGAGTAGCAGCCTCAGCCTCATGAAGAGCACGAGCCGCAAGCTCAAAGCCAAGCAACTCCTGTTTGTAGGCTTTCTGGTCCTCGTCGCCTTTGCCCGTGGCACCCCTGTACGTCCCCGGCTGCACACACACAGCAAAGGAACCCACGCTGTGATGCTCGGAGCCGTTACTCGCCAAGAAAAGCACCGCCGGGTCCTGTTGAAGCTGCGCCTTGAGCTCCTCCACAAGGTCGTCGAAGAACCCACAAGGATCAAGAGTGGGAGGCGCAGGCGGTTGTTCAGGGACACCGCGCTCCAAAGGCCGTTCCTCGCACCTGTTTTGAGGGAGCTGGAGCCCGAAACGCAAATGAGAAGTTTCAGCACACGTCCAAAGCAGGTGAGCACGAGAGGGACGAAGGAGTCCGCAAAGACATTTCCACCACACATTTTCAATTGCAAAGTGGTTCCCGGCATTGTAGTGCCAGCAGCTGCTGACGGACCCGAAAGCAGCGAGATCAGTGCCTCCAAGTCCCAAGCGCATGGCCTCGTGCAAACCATCGAAGTGGTAGTCGAGAGTGAAGCTGGGCGGATCGGAGCCTTAAGCTGCAAAGCATTGCCAAGGAAAGCCCGCTCGACCTCAGCAACAGAAGGTCCCGAAATCGAGCAAGCCTCACTCGCTGTCGGTGCTGTCGCGACGCTCCCGTGCACCCCTGGAAACGTCGCCTGCAAAATCATCATCTGCTCTTGAGCTGCCGGTCCGGTGCCCAATGCATCCTCCAAGCAAACACTTTGGATCCAGGCCTCCGTGGGAACGACACCGAAGTCTCGCCCTGAAAGCCACATCGCCGAAACATACATGCCCAGCCAAATCCCATGCAAAAGCACACCCAACTGAAACTCCTCTTGTATTGGCCAGAACCTCTCGCAGCCAACCCACTCAAAAGCAAGTGCGAATGGCACACGACCACCCCAGGCCGTGTACCATAGTCCCACTGTCACGTTGGTTGAGCGCAGGCGTCATGACTGCAAGTCGTCGATTCATCGTCATCTGGTAGCGGCACGTTTGCCTGCACCAACTGAAGAGCGTAGTGCCCACGGCTGGAGCGGGAGATTGCGGCGTCTTCCCCATGAGAAGCTGGCGCCATGAAAGCGGCGCTGGGTTCACTTTGCACAGACCCCTATGATCCGTCCCAGAACGGGCCACATGGAGGCGGAACCCCTGAGCCGTTCTGCAAGAGCTCTTGGTAACAAGCCGCTGCCGACCCCACTGCTCCTTTACCATGACAGCCACCTTCCAAACGAAGAAACCATAAAACCCAAAACCTCAAACAGGCTTTCACAAACATGTCCCGGCCCTAGATGACATCCGAGATTAGGACTTTAGGAGTTCGCTTGCATCCTACAAAGCCTACAGGCAGGTAGACCGCACGGCTACAGCTTGTGGCGCACGGCGGCGACCAGTGACACACGTCATGAGTTGACGTCATTGTTAAACAAACAGTTTCTAGGCTTGTGACACCCAAAGATATGCCCGTCTGTGCTATCACCTGCGGAAGCCCTCCTCTTTCAGAGCCGCCAATCGCTACAAGCTACTTTTTTCGTAGTGACAACAATGGTCTTCCTGATGTCCTTCAGGTCGCTGCGCATGCTTCGCAGATCGTCCAAAGCCGTTTCCTTAAAGGCCAGATGCAAACTGGCAGATTAGAGAGGATGAAGGTCTGGGGGTCCCTGATTTAAAATAAACTCAGGATGCTGCCCTCTTTGGCGTTAGGGATTCCCAGAGACTCCAATATCCCTTACTTAAGGAACATGCCTGAAATTGTAGCAGGATCCCTGGTACGAATCTCCAATCTCCTCATAGGCTCCACTGTACTTCCTTTTCCGGATTACTTTATAGGATCCTAAGCTTCTTAGTTGAACGGATTTACGCGTTCAGGGTTTAGGGTTGAGGGTTTCCAGCTGTAGGATTTATTTTTAGGGCTGAAGATGTACAGATTAGGGAATCGGCTTGAAATGGTGTTTGCGGTTCAGCGTGTGGCATCACAAGTTTGTGACTGAATGTGGAGCCTGGGAAGAAAGCATCGGATTGCCGTCCAAGGTTCGGGATTTAGCTTAGCCCTACACCCCCGATAATTGCGGTGTAGGGTCCGTCCGGACCAGAGCAAAAATCTCACACTCCTCGGCAAAGCGATCACCAAAGAGGCCGAACAAGCTGAGGTTGAGCGTGTAGCGAATGCCTCGCAAGGTTTAGGTAATGGATCGCAAAATGTTTACAAGTACTTTGCAAGATGCGTTTTATGTGCTTTGCACCCTTTTGGGTTTTGGGGCGTCCGGCGGCCCCCCGTATGCAACCTGACCACTAAGAAGATTCCAAAGGGTTTAGGGTTTGGGGTTTAGGGTTTAGGGTTAAGGGCTCTTGCGGTTCCCGCCCGACCCGACTGCGAGGGCCTGTGCGCCGAAAGCCAACGGCTGGCAGCACCAGGACGACGAAGGCAAAAGCCAGCAGGCTCATTAGAGACCCGGCCAGCAGCACCACACACACTACCTCTGTTCTCCAATAGCCCAACCGGAAAAAACTCAATCTTTAGAATGTGGAGCAACCAAAAAGCACAAAAGCTTAAGCTTCTCCCATTGGCTGGATGAGTTGCTGGGATGCCAAGCGCCAAGAAGTTATACTTTGAGACAGGGCTCCAGAGCGCACGCTGCATGAAACGTTCGAAGAGCTTCTTCTGGTAGTACGTCCCCGGGGCCAGGGACTCCATGATTAACTTGAGAGGGCTCAGTGCGATCTCTGCCAACTTCGCAAAGTGCAAGTAAGGGGGCGGAGGCTTTTTGGCTTCGGGGTCCAAGAGCTTGCGACCGAGCCAAGTGCCCACCATCATCCAAGGCCTGCGCTGCACCTCGAGGGCTTCTTCTTCTTCTGTTTACTGAGCATAACATCCATAGCACGCTTTAGCATCATTATCACCAACGGTAACTACATCATCCTGTTCTCACGGTGATATCTATAACATGAACACTACAAAGGGCTCCACTGCTTGACATACATCTTGAAGGGAGCCTGGGTCAGGGGATATTGCAGTTTCTGATCCTGGAACCTTGAAGACGGCTTGTATGGAAAATGAGAAGCAAACACGAAAGACTTGTCTACCGAATAAGACGATTACTATACGGGCCGAGATAACTACCAGTACTATGTTGGGGGTTCCTGGTTGTAATTATCGCATAATGGGCCCAGAACCCTATTCTAATTATGATGGCCCCTAGGTAATTATAGCATAATGGGCCCAAAACCCTATTCTAATTATGATGGCCCCTAGATTACACTGCCCTTATAGATCCCTTGTAGTAACCCTTCTAGGCCCCTTTAAAGGAACCCCTATGGACCGAGGCATGGGTTTCGTGTACACTGCGGGCCCACAGGGAGACACACCTTCCCAAAGGGGGTTTAGGGTTTAGGGTTTAGGGTTTAGGGTTGCATTAAAGGGAACTCCAGAAAGTTGGAATATGGTTTCAGGGTAGGATACCCTATAATTTACCATAAAGGGCTTAGGATAATCATATTCCAACTTTCTGGCTTTTACTGTATGGGGGCCTTAATAATTGGAATGTGGTTTTGGGGGCCATTATACTACAACTATGATAAGGAACCCCCAAAATAGTGTTGGTAATTTATTTAGGCCCCGAAAGTAGCAAACCTAACTGCCAGGCCCACATGACTGCCATGATGAAACTCTGCTGCGATACCATATATCAGAAACGTACCCGGCAGTGAACCCATACTATAAGGGGAACAACCCTTGAGGGAACCCTTAAGGGAGCCCTTGGGGGAAAACGCATATCTCAAGTGGAGCGCGGGGCAGCTTCCTGGGCCCTCCTCTCTGGAATGGAGCGGGCCGGTCAGTAGGGTTTAAGGTTCAGAGTTGAGGGTCTTTATTTGGGGTTTAGGGTTTAGGGGTTACTTAAAGGATCATGGGACTTAGTAACCAGAGTTATTACTAAGGTAACTATACTTATAACCCCAATTGGGGTACTTATAACCTTACTTACTAAGTCCCATGATCCTCCAAGTAGGACAAAAAAAGAGCACTAAGAAGGAAAGACTGCTTGGGTTCCTTTCAGTGAGCCCTGGTTTAGGGTTTAGGGGTGTAGGGGTTTAGGGGTTTAGGGCTTAGGGTTTAGGGGGCCCTGACTCAGAAAGACGCTGAAGTCCAGCCACAACGCGAGACCCGGAACCTTCGGGCTTAGGGCTTCGGGTTTAGGGTTTAGGGCTTAGGGCTTAGGGCCTAGAGCTCTGGGTTCAGGGCTTTGGTTTTAGGGTTCAGGGTTTAGAACCTCCTAAGCTAGCAGCTTAAACCCTCCGCCCACCTCCAGCAGCATGCGCGCGCGGGCCTGCACAAAGAGCCCTTGTGCCCGATCTTGCTGCATCTCGTAGTTCTGGCTCAGAATAGCAATCAGCCTTACTTGCAGAGTTCAGGGTTTTGGGGATTCGGGGCTTGGGATTCAAGGAGAACCGATGCGTGTAATGTTCGGCTCTGCTGGCTGTGGGACAAGGAAGTGGGTTCAGGATTTTGGGTTTTGGGTTTAGGGTTGTAGGGTTTAGGGTTTACGGTTTAGGGTTTAGGGTTTTAGGGTTTAGGGTTTAGGCTTTTGTTAGCAAAGCTTGCGTTGTAAACAGGACGGCTAAAGGTTGCCTTCTCAGCACCAAAGTAGCAGGTTCATGAGCAGCACAGTAATGCCAATCCCGGTGCCGAAGAAGCACAGCTGAAGGTAGATGTAAGGCCTGTAAGGGCTGTCTCCCACAGCTTTCGGGCTGGGATCAATCGGCGCCCACTCGCCCTCCACATGCTCAAAGGTTGTGTCCTGGCCCTGGTACTCAAACATGTCAAAGTCTCCGAAGATGGCCAATCGAACCGTGTGCAAGAACGAAGAGTAGATGGGGTACTCATCCTCGCCTCCGTGGATCCAGATTCCGCTTACGGCTTAAACACTAGATGTCCACACCATATCATACCCTAACCCCGAACAGAAGGATCCCACTACAGCATGTGACTACAAGACTATTCCTGACCTCGCCTCGGGGGTTCATGATCACGTAGGCATGGGTCGCACTTGCAACGCAGAGGGAGGTGACGAAGAAGAACGCCCCGGTGTCTCGAACGGCTGATAGAATCGGTAGAAGGTAGGGCCCCAGCCACCGCTCTCCACGAAGGCTGTACCTGCAGTCCAAAATCCTGCCACTTTACGCTTCGCAAATACGAAACACTCACACTCCGCTTCACAAAACCCAAAACCCTAAACCTGGCACAAACACCTTAAACGCTAAATCTTAAACCCTTAATAAGTAGGAACCCGAAGCCCTGAACCCTAAACGGCTCCAGGTACATGAGTCGGAGCCAGTACATCGAGCAAAATCCTGGCAAGAAGATGGGCTCCAACTCAAGGTCGCTACAGAGATCCATCTGGCCATAGATGGCGAAGGAGCCTCGGTTGCTTTTGAGGAACCCAAAGAGCCCAATACCCCTTGAATAAGCAATCTACCTTAAATTATAAGGGCCTTCACATTATGATTTAAGCCTGCTATGTTCCTTAGGGGTATTGGGGGCTCTCTGGGAACTTCAGCAGCTTAGGCTTCAGGGTTTAGGAAGGAGCCTCGAGGGTTCGGGGGGGGTTAAGCTTCTTTGGGGAGCGATGGTGTAGTGGGCTTTAGGATTGGACCCTGGGCTCTTGCGAAGCAAAGCTGACTTACACTACCACTATAAAAAAAAAAACTTGGGTAGCGTTGAACCCTAAGGGTCCAAGTACCCCCTATTATGGGGCTTCAGGGCAGTTTTAGGTATCAAAAGCCATAAATAAGGACTACTTGGACCCTTAGGGTAAGGCAAAAGCCAGAAAGTTGGAATATGATTATCCTAAACCCTTTATGGTAAATTATAGGGTATCCTACCCTGAAACCATATTCCAACTTTCTGGAGTTCCCTTTAAGTGATTGCTTTTCAGGAACTTCGGGCTGAGGTCTGGGGCTTTGGCCTAAGCTAAACTAAGGTTGCTTGGAGGGTCGGGGGGGACTTAGTAACTCTAAGGGGTTCCTCTTGAGGGGTCCTTTAAAGGGATCTATAGGGATTCTGTAAGGGTATAGGGCTTAGGGTTTAGGGGGACTTAGTAACTGGTTATTTTAGGGACTTATAAGTACCATCACCCCAATTAGGGTCCCTTTTAGGCTGCTTATAAGTCTACTTACTACCTACTTACTAAGTCCCCCGACCCTCCAAGTGCTACAACAAGAACTTGCAGCTACCTCACCTTTGTGAAGAATGGTAGTAATAGTAGTCAGAATTGTACCCCATTCCTCCATTCTCTACTAACCAGAGGTAAGTTACTTACAGTCATAAAACAACACGGTTCCTTATTCTGGTAACTTAGACTAGATTAGATTCCTTAACAGGAATTCGGTAAAAGGACCCCTATAGAACCCTTCAAAACCGGCCCCTGCATCAGATTCGATTCCTTAACAGGAACCGAGGAGCCGGCGACCAAGAAGAGGAAATCAACGAGAGTTTCCAAGCCGGGCGCAGGCTGAACAAAGGAGATGTCCTTTTCAAGTTTAAGGTTTAGGGTTTAGGGTATAGGGTTTAGGGTTTAGGGTATAGGGTTTAGGGTTTAGGGTATAGGGTTTAGGGTATAGGGTTTAGGGTATAGGTCCGTAAAACTATCGTAAATCGGTGCCTAGTATCCGCATCACCCAGCAGCTTCATGTCCTGTCCGTCCACGCGATCCGCATGCCTGAAGTTGTCAAGACATTCCAAGGGTAAAAGGGGAGACCCTTAATAAGGACCCCCAGGTATATACCCTTAATATAGCCATTATATACCCATTATATAGCCCATTATAGGGTAGTGGTCCCCATTAAGGGTCCCTCCTTTTCCCCTTTGAGACATGTTTCAACAGGAGTCAAATGGCTTCCCTCCCCAGAGCCTCCAAAACCCCTTAATTAAGGACTATACCTTAAATCACATTAGGGGTTCTATTATACTTTAAGGTATATTCCTTAATTCAAGGGTTTTGGAGGCTCTGGGTCCTTCATCCTCGAAAAAGACAGAAACGAAAAACTTCCCGAAGACATGCGAGACACCCCTTGCCTTGGGCGTCCTTGTGCCTCCAGGGCATACAGCTCCAGCCATAGAGTCCAAGTTGAGAGAGCAACTCCACAGCCTCTTTGATCTGAATCATTGCCAGGACCCATAGTGCTGGCCTCGTTCAATTTTTTGGACTTATATAGGTACAAGCCCGACCCAGCCCAGGATCAGTTACAATAACAAGACCTCCTGCATAACCACCGAAAAGGCCCACCCCGACAGGACCACCAACCACGGACCGGACCACGTGGTCGGCTTGGTCCTGTCGGTTTGGGTAGGTGGTGCCGTCGGTGCTCCGGTCGATGGTCGGGTGGTCGGGTGGTCGGGTGGTTGGTCGGGTGGTCGGGTGCTCGGATGCTCGGGTGGTCGGGTGGTCGGGTCTCGCTGGTGGTCCCGTCGGTGGTCTGAATTGCACCTGGTGGTAGTGTGGTCTTGGTCTGGTCGTGTCCGTGGTGGTCGGTTGTTGGTCCGGTCGGTAGTCCGGGGCCAAGATAAGGGTTCCCACAAGAGGACACCCTTGTTTTCGGTCTCTGTTCCAGGAGGCAAGGTCATGGGGCAAGTTCAAGAATCCTGGGCGGCTCTCAACTCAAGGAAAATTGCTGGGGCACCGGCTGGGCATCCATGTCACCTTTACGACACGCCCAAGTTACCAAACACAAACATCCCACAGCCACGCAGTTCAGGAAATTGTCGACGGCGGTGGCCACTCGCATCTGGAGCCACGCCGCTGCAGTGATGGCTTCCACAGTGTCTGTTTGTAGGGTCTCCTCGTTAGCGGTCTCAGCCAGTGCTGCAAGAACCGACGGCTTGCATGCCAGAGGTGCCGCGATTGGCAGCATTTGCAACGACACCTGTACTTCCGGGGCATAGAGCATGTTGTGCCAGCTCAAGTTGAATGCATCGACATCCTCGGGCTTCTTGGCACGATCATCAGCGCCAGCGAACATGGACTTCCGAGACCTCCGGCGATCCTCATGAAGAAATTCCTGCACCTCAGCGTCCGGAGCAAGATGGCTACTTAAAGGATCATGGGACTTAGTAACTAGGGTTATTTTTGGGGTAACCATACGTACTTGTAACCCCAATTAGGAGACTTACAACCTTACTTACTAAGTCCCATGATCCTCCAAGTATGCACAAAAACAGCTGCAAAACCAGGAAGCGTGTGGCGATATGGCCACCGCCGTTGACAGACTTAGTAGCTTGGTATCCTGCAACCTGCCCACGCGTAGCTATTGAATGACAGACTGCGACCGCGGCACCTCCTGCCTGTCCCATGCATAATCGCAAAGGACTGTGCGCACTCGCTCCCTCAATCTCTCAGAGCGGAAGAGTCCGGGTTCAACCTGCCAGGTGTCAGTCAACGTTCGAAACCGTCGTCTTCCAGTCATGCCAGTGCTGTCAGTGGTTGCGTGACTCTTCTGACAATGCTGAGCTACCATGAGATCGAGACAGCTTGTACAGGCAACTCCCATTCCACATGCACTTCGCTTCACCATCATCCGAATGAACAGTTGAGTCCTTATCCTCCCTCGTTCCTTTCTCAGCTCTCCCCGTGCTGTCTTGTTGGCTTCAGCAGCTGCTTCCTTCTATGTCTATTCTCCTTTGCTACTTAAGAAGCGAATTTTGCCCCCACATCCAAGGAGTGGGATCATCTTGTGCAAAGGGCCATATGAGAGTTTCCGAAAACTCGGGGTACCTGATTTTGGGCTCCTTGTAAACAGGATCCTACTGTTTAGGGTACTGTATTAGGGTCCCCTGTTTTCGGAAACTCCCATATCTGACATCTGACCCTAAACCCTAAACCCTAAACCCTAGACCCTAAACCCTAAACCCTAAACCCTAAAACCCTAAAACCCTAAATCTGACAGAAGGTGCAAAAGATCCCATCTCAAGATCCCATCGTTGCAGGACTGGGACTCTCCAGGATGGTCGCCTTCACCCGTGAGAACCAGGTTGCTCTCTTCGGCGTCTCTCTCTCTCTCTCTCTCTCTCTCTCTCTCTTTCTCTCTCTTTCTCTCTCTTTCTCTCTCTTTCTCTGTCTTTCTCTCTCTTTCTCTCTCTTTCTCTCTCTCTTTCGGCTCCATCTCTTTCGTCTCTTTCTCCTTCGTCTCTTTCTCCTTCGTCTCTTTCTCCTTCGTCTCTTTCTCCTTCGTCTCTTTCCCTCACCCATATTCTATTCCTCCAGTGCTCTTTCTTCGGCGAGCCTGTCCTCCTTAACATGTTCAGGTTAGCGGCTCGTTCAAAAGAGAGGCCGGCCTCCTTCAGCAAGCTTTTAACCTTTGCCGTGTAGAACTCCCCTTCTCCACGCAGCAGTGTAACAAGCATGCGCAAGGTCCGCTTCTCATCCGTGCGGATGTCTGCCATGACTGTTGCTTGCTTGAGCCCGTTGAAGAACATGCGCAAGAACTCATCCTCGCGGATGTCTGCTTGAGCGTTCGAGAGCATGTGCAAGGTCTGCTTCTCATCCTCCCGGAAGTCTTGTTGAGCGTCCGAACTCTGATTTCGCACTGCTTGAGTGTTCGAGGTCCGCTCATCATGATTCCGGATGTCTTCTTGAGCGTCCGAACTCTGATCAGGCTTCTTTCGCTTTTGATCTGCTGCCTGATGCAAAAGAAACCACATGTGGATGTCGCAATCCTTCGAGCAGAAAGCTGCCGAGAGTGCTGTGAGTCCATCGGAATCTCTGGCATCCACGTCAGCTCTCGACCGTAAGAGCTCCCACGCGACATGGCTGTGCCCTGAGACGGCAGCTGCAATGATCGGCCTGGTCCCCGAGCTTTTGCCCTCGCAAGCCCTGGTCCTGGGGACGAAACCCTGGCTTTTGCCATCGGCAGCAAGTGCTCTGTCTGGGAAAGTCTCTTGACCACTCTCCAAGCCATTGGAGAGGTCACCATCGCTCGCCAAAACCTCCTTCACCTTCGAGATGTCTCTAAGCACAAATCTATACTGAACTTAGAACCCTAGCAAAAATTATAATTTTAGCTGTTTCTTGGGGGTTATAATGATCAAAAATTAAAAACTATTTCTAAGTACCCCTAAGAAATGCATGTAAAGCAGAACCTTTTGTTCGTTTGGGCCCCTCAATTCCTCCAAATCACCTTGTTCAGGTCGCCGCGTCGTGCAGCTTCCACCAAGCTGTCCTCTTTTTTGTCCTTGTCGCCCCGAGCACTCGCGCTCACCTGAGAGTTATCCTAAATGCGACCTCTGCAAGGGCCGTCTTAGACAAACCTCGAGGTGCACAAAATGCACAGGTACCTCACAAAAAAAAGAACTTAAGCCCTGAATTCAATCCAAGTTCAACCCACCTGGCTCCTTAACCCAACCTAACTAGGGCTGTAGAGTTTGAAGGTTGTTTTGGCTTCTGTGATGTTGGTGTTCTCCGGGTTTGGATTCCTGGTTCAGGGATCGACACCGCCAACCCAAACTCCGTGTGGCAAACTCAAGGAGCAGAAGAGAAACGGCACGGGGCGAGGGATGCACGAAAAAACAGAGAGTAGCAAGGTTGAGGATGGAAGGTGTGTACCCCATCGCCGAGTGACCCTGGAAAATCAGACAGGCATGCTCTCATTATCAACATGGTAGTGATTGGTATGCCAAGCATGATCATGGTTACGGCGATGATCATTTCCACCAAGCGTACTTGGAGTATAGCAGCAATGATGTCTGATCAGCCCCGTCAATTCCTCCCAGTCACCTTGTTCAGGTCGCCACATCGTGCAGCTTCCACCACGCTGTCCTCTTTTTTGTCCTTGTCGCCCTCGGCACTCGTGCTCACCTGGGCGTTATTCTAAATGCGAGCTCCTTTGAAAAGGTCCGCCTGAGACAAAGCTTACCTTTGGTTAGTAGGGAATGGAAGAATGGTAGTAAGAGTAGTTATACTTGTACCCCATTCCTCCATTCCCTACTAACCAAAGGTAAGAAAGCTCGAAATATACGTTATGCCACCCTCAATACCTCACAAGCAACCCCTCAACCCTACCTCCCAAGCCTGAACCTTGAAGCCCCAAACTGAACTGTTTAGGGTTTAGGGTTTAGGGTTTAGGGTTTAGGGTTTAGAACAATGTCTCCTCACTTGAATTCCTCCTGCACAGTTTGATTTCCTCCTGAACAATCAGAGGTGCATCCTCCTTTGGCTGCTCTGTCTCGTCCAGGTCTGCTGTCGGCACCTAGGAGGGGGGGGGGTAGAATTGTAGCGCTTTGGGGACGTTTTGCTTCTTGGGCGCTGGTGTTCGGCGGGTTGGGGTCCCCATAACGGCTCCTTTTAAAGGGTTCTATAAGGGTTCCTTTTAAAGGACTCAAAAAGGGTTCTTTTTAAAGGGTTCTATAAGGGTTCCCTTTAAAGGACTCAAAAAAGGTTCCTTTTAAAGGGTTCTATAAGGGTTCCTTTTAAAGGACTCAAAAAGGGTTCCTTTTAAAGGATTCTATAAGGGTTCCTGGTTCAGGGATCGACCATGTCGTAAACTCCAAAGAACAGAAGAGACACTGCGCCGGGCGAGGCCTGGACACGAAAACGTGAGAGAGTAGTGGGGTAGGGTTTAGGGTTTAGGGTTTAGGGGTTTAGGGTTTAGGGTTTAGGTAGGCAAGGTTGTGTAGTCATGGTCCTGATCGCCAAACAACCCTTGAAAACCTTGCAGAACTACTACAAGAAAAGGTAAGTGGCTGGTATGCCCTGCATGATCATGGTCACGGTGATGGCCATGTTTCTTAAGATTGCTAGGCATGGCGTCCTGCAGCTATGATGCATGATCATTGTAACGACGCAAAACAATCCTCACTATAGGATCTCCTGAATTCCTCCAAGTCACCTTGCTCGGGTCCCCACGTCGTGCAGCTTCCACCATGCTGGTCTCAATGCTGCCGTCCTTGTCGCACTCAATACTCGTACTTGCAACTTGCAAGGTCCGTCTTAGACAAACTTAGACAAATTGCAAGCATACATTAGAAGCTGCCCCCACCCTGTAATACTGATAATAACGATTATATTAGGGCCCTATTATATTCCTACTGTTGATGATATAAATCCTGCATTACCTTAAGGACCCTAAACTATGGAAATAATGGCATATCCCTTATTATGGGTAGTGCAGGATTTATATCATCAACCGTATTATACCCACTATTACAGGGTGGGGGCCCCTTCTAACGCATACACATTGCACAGGCCCCTCACAGGCAACCCTGTCTCCGAAGCCTCAAAACCCCAAATCGAACCCGGTTGATGATATAAATCCTGGGGTTCCTTTAAAGGGGAGCTATAAGGGTACCTTTAAGGGATCTATAGGGATCTATAGGGTTTAGGGTTTAGGATGATATAAACCCTGCATTACCCATAATAAGGAATATACCATAATTCCCATAGTTTCGGGTCCTTAAGGTAATGCAGGATTTAGATCATCAACCGACCTCAAACAACCCACCTGTCTCGGGAAACCCTCCTCAGCAATCAGAGTCACATCTTCTTTTGCCTGCTCCGTCTCGTCTGGGGCTGCTGCCGCCACCTTTGGGGGGCTAGGGTCCCAGAGACTCCAATATCCCTTAATTAAGGAATATTCCTTAAATTATAATAGGATCCCTAATATGATTTAAGGAATATTCCTTAATTAAGGGACATTGGAGTCTCTGGGGTTTTAGGGCTTCAGGACTTCGGGTGGTAGGGCCTTAAGGCTTCAGCGTTTTGGGATATTATTAATTTAGGGTTTAGGGTTTAGGGTTTAGGGTTTAGGGTTTAGGGTTTAGGGTTTAGGGTTTAGGGTATAGGGTTTAGGGTTTAGGGTTTAGGGTTTAGGGTTTAGGGTTTAGGGTTTAGGGTTTAGGGTTTAGGGTTTAGGGATATTATTAATGTTTCTGCGTGTGTGTTCCCCCCGGTCTGTGTTCCTGGTTCACGTCCACGTGGTAAACCCCCAGAAGCAGAAGAGAAACTCTGTAAGGTGCGGATCTATGGTTCTTTCTAATGTAGGGGCCTTAATGATTAGAATAGGGTTTTGGGGCCCACTATACTCTACTTATAATAAGGAACCCCCAAAATAGTATTGGTAATTATTTCGGCCCCCAGATTATGGTTCTTTCTAAGCGCTTCGGCACCCTAAAACTGCCTAAAAACCTAAGCCGGGCTTGGTAGTCAGGGTCCTGATCGGCAGAAGACACTGGAAACCCCTCTACACATGCCAAAAGGATCCCTGTGATTGGCATACGATGGTGAATATGGTTGTCCAGGTTACCCTGCGTATGGCAGCAGTTCTGATTCCATGATGAATGACGAGAGTTACGAGGATGGTGATGCTTACCCGTACTCGATATGGTCATTGTGAGTGCTACTGTCATCACTTGTTCTTTGCTTTGCGTTTGGGGTATGACTACGGCCGTTACTGCTGCTATGGTAGTTATATTAGCTTCTCATCTGATTCCTATTATTCTTGCTGCGACATGGGCCACTGCGATCATTAGGAAACTGCTGGCATCATGATAATGCTGACGGCGATGGGTGGTTGCATTCACTGTTTGTTCCTGGGCTGCAGCTACTTACTATCAGTCAAGCGTGGGTATACTGTGCTGGAAGAATCTAGTGCCAAGCCTGCATCATACAAACTACAAAGCAGTTACGTTTCTGGCATTTGCACTGTGGCTATAGCCACTTGCCTTTCCAGAAGCTATAGCCCACTTAGGGTTTAGGATTTGGGGACTCGATTAGTTGGCTGGCACTTGTATCACGACAGTGCTGCGCCTGCTATAGCTGCTATGTCCACTCTTAGGTGATAAACATGCTACCGTCAGTTCGTAAGCATTCGCGTACGCCTCCTTCTTCTCATCCTCCGATGCAGCAGCAGTAATTCGCTTTCGCCTCGGCTCACTCTAGCTGATCTCGCGCCAATTGCTCTAGTGGCGGAAACACGGCAACTGCATCGAACTTCCGGCACGGAGCTTCCGCCAAACTGCCTGTTTGCAGTAAAAGTCTTCAGCTGACGGGAAGACTCACCAAGACCACTTTCCATCTAAGGCCCTAAACCCTAAACCCTAAACCTCCCACAAAGCTCGGCAAGCGGCAGGCGGGCCCTTTCCAGCACCCCCGGCGGAGCCCTTGACCTTGCCCTTCGCTGGAGCTGGTGCCTGCAAAGGATGCGGGTTGAAAGCCATGGCCTCCAGCACGCTACCACTAAGTGCACATAAGAGGCCTTCATGAAAGAACGCATACTTGGAGGATCTTTATAAGTACCCTAATTGGGGTTATAAGTATGGTTGCCCTAAGAGTAACCCTAGTTACTAAGTCCCATGATCCCTTAAGTAGGCTTAATCGGCAACCCACCAAGCCCAAACCCAGAGACTCCAATATCCCTTAATTAAGGAATATTCCTTAAATTATAGTAGGATCCCTAATATGATTTAAGGAATATTCCTTAATTAAGGGACATTGGAGTCTCTGGGAACTGCGCACAGATAGCTGACTGCAGCGCCCAAGGCCCCCCGGCAGTGGCCTCCTGGGCTTGAGCTTCTGTGCCCGCTGCCTCCAAGCAGATGCGGTGCACCCTCATGAACCTAATCTAGAGGCCTTTATCACGAGAACAAGGTTTTGGGGAATATCATACTATAACCATAACAAGGAACCACCAAAACGGTACGGTAATTATTAAGGCCTCTATATTCTTATTATTATTATTAGTATTATTCTTATTATTATTGTTATTATTATTATTGTTATTATTATTATTATTATTATTATTATTATTATTATTATTATTATTATTCTTATTATTATTATTCTTATTGTTATTCTTATTATTATTATTAATATTATTATTATTATTAGTAGTAGTATTAATATTATTTTTATTATTATTATTGTTATTATTATTGTTATTCTTATTATTATTCTTATTATTATTCTTATTATTATTATTATTATTAGTATTATTGTTATTATTATTATTATTACTATTATTATTATTGTTATTATTATTAATATTATTAATATTATTATTATTGTTATTATTATCATTATAATTATTATTATTATTATTAGTAGTAGTAGTAGTAGTAGTATTATTGTTATTATTATTATTACTATTATTAGTATTATTATTATTCTTATTATTATTATTGTTATTATTATTATTATTATTCTTATTATTATAATTATTATAATAAATATTATCCTTATTATTCTTATTATTATTATTATTCTTATTATTCTTATTATTCTTATTATTCTTATTAGTAGTAGTAGTAGTAGTAGTAGTAGTAGTAGTGGTATTATTATTATTATTAAGGCCTCTATATATTAGTTGCAGGTCGCGTGCCTCAGCAGGCTCTGCGTCTAATGCCACTACCGCAGCTGACAGAAGAACCTCTGCTTCCGCATCCGCTTCGGCTGCCTGCTGGCAATGTCGCAGGCCATGACGTAGATCAATATCCAACAGTAGCAACAGCAATAACAGCAAGAAGACGTGTCTTCGGCTTCAGCCAAGTCCATATCTTGAGGCTTTCGGCAGCTGGGTCGGGGTTTAGGGTTTAGGGTTTTAGGGGTTTAGGGTTTCCGCTTTTAGGGTTTAGGGTTGACGGTTTAGGGCTTTAGGGGTTTAGGGTTTCCGTTTTTAGGGTTTAGGGTTGCCGGTTTAGGGGATTCAAGCTTCACGCGATCACTTCGTGGCACAGGCTTGAGTTGAAGGATCCTGTAGTCGAATGTAGGAACCTGATTAAGACACCTTGGGCCTAAGGGTTCCTTTAAAGGGGTCTATAAGGGATACTATAGGGGGTTTTTAAGGGATCTATAAAGGGTTTAGGGTTTAGGGTAGGAACGTGATTAAGACACCTTGGGCCTTTATTCGGGTCTCTTATATGAATCCTACTAGTTGGGGGTTAGAGGGCCAGGGTTTCTCTTTTTCAGGTTCCTACATTATGCCTGGAGATCTAGTGGTTTCTGCATTGTTTGTTGTCGGACATCAGCTACGGAAGGTGGGACTGGGTCCTGAAGCGTTCAGAAGAAACCTAACACAGGTTTACGAGAGGTTTGGATTACGGTCGAAGAATCCAGGGAACCTGTGTGAATTGGGAGGTTCTGAACATGCCGTGGAGGATAGCAGGCGGAAGTTGTGGACAGAAAACGCAGCCAATGCTGCCGGGCATCGTCGGCTTTTGCTGAGCTCTTTGTGGTCCGAACCTGCTACACAGCCATGGGAGATTACGACGAAACTCCAGAAGCCCGAGTTGCTACCTTAACTGCCCGCTCCTCTTCGAAGCACTTGAATCGATAAGATTCGCGTGACAATGGCGTACCAGGGACGGGATTGTTTATGGGAGTTTCCGAAAACAAGGGAAACTAATCTAGTACTCTAAATAGTGGGATCCTTGTGATAAGGACCCTGAGATAAGGTACCCCTAATTTTCGGAAACTCCCATAGGATCCTTCCAACTTCAACCGTGGAACAGCCCATACCAGCCCAGATGCACGCATCCCGAACCCTAGATCCGGCTCCCGAAAGCGTCTATGATGGGAGGCCAAGAGGCGGGGGGGTTTAGGGTTTAGGGTTTAGGGATTCTTGGAGTAGGGATTCCAAAAATATGACCCGATTATGGGAGCCCTCATCTCTACTAAACCCCCGTAACCCTTTTTGGCCTCCTATGAGTCTAAACCTTACTCCGCAACCGTGACCTTTAGTCACACAGCGTGAAACATGTCTTTTGGAGGAGTTGATTTGTGAGGGTTTCGGGTTTAGGGCGGCATTCCTTCTCTGTTTAGGGCACCAACAATGGCCGGCAAAAGCTGGACGAAAGACCTAGAAGCCTTAAGCGGATTCTTCTAACCTTTGACAAGGATGTTGGTTTGCGAACCCAAAAACAAAACGTAATG